ATCCGAATCTGTTCAAGTGGTGTTTATCTTATTATGTACTCTTCAGGAAGAGATTGTCTTATTCATTAGATGCTTTCTTCTGCATAAAAGAGCACCTCTTGTAAGAGGTGTTTGTACATGAAAATCCTGAGATTTAGTACAGTTTCCCTCTGCACTTTGTGTATATAAAGTTTGCATGTATTTGCAAAGTAGAACTTTAACTTAGCTGTCATTAATGGTCAGAGATGCCATGGCACTGGTATTTTACTGGGGTATAAAGTCAGTTATACATAAAACATTGTAACACGATTATTAGAAAGTATTGAATGCTTGAGAATGTATGTGATACAGAAAGGGGCACGGAATTGCTGTGTATTTAGCGTGTATAATGCAGCTTGCTCAATTTGTTCCTGGCTATTCATAGGAGAGCACATTTTCTCTTTTTAATTGCAGAAGATGACAAGACCTTTTAATTAAGGTGGCATCTATAGTATTCATATACTGCAAAACCCACAAATGACTAAAACTTAATAGCGTCATAAAAACTAGTTAAAGCTTTTACCAACACTGCCATCACAGCAAGAGGCATTAAATCAACTACGTCAGCAATGAACTTATGCCTACACAGAGGCTACTGACTCGAAGAGCAGTGACTGTTTTCCTGCTGAAATAAAGTCTCTGTGGTTTTTATGGTTGTACTAGTGGCACTGGCAAACAGCCCTTCCATCTCCTAAGGTGTTCCTGCCCTTCCCTCTCAAATCACTACAACTTCAGTAGCATCGTGTTTCCAGTTAGAAGATACTGTGGGGAAACAGGGTAAAAACTACTTTACATCACTAGGAAGTTTCCTTCAGGCTTCAGTGGGACAGAAGGGCAGGGAATGGGAGCTTTGTGTCTGCACAGATGTGCGGAAGCAGGCAGGCAGCCGTAGATGCCGTAGGAGCAGAGGGAGGCATGAAACCTCAGTGCTTCACTGATTCACTGTCTCACTTGGAGTGAACCACATCATTCACTTCAGGGATGGCAAGAGTGCAGTGGAGTCACTACTGGAACGTCTGATGTTAATGATATTAAACAAAGTCTTTTAGCAAGGATGTATGCACTGACACTTTTTTCCCTTCCACTTTTCCTTATAATGACAGTCTTGCATTTGTTGGGCTGATAGTTGTGTGGGAGATGCTCCTTCACTGTCCCTGTTTCATAAGACGCTGTGCTTCTCCAGGAAGTGCATCCCACTACTGAGATGGGGTATGTGCCCACTGAACATTCCCAGATTTTGCCTTGGTAACACTGTTAGTAATAGGAATGCTTCTCAGCTGCTTTTATAAGGGCTTAGGGGTTGTGAGGTTTTTGGTTTGGTTGGTTTTTTTTCCCCCCTCTCTGTTTTCCATGGAACATAAAGGAATATTATACCAGTGTTTAAGGTATGGTCTTATTTTTGGCAAGAGCTTTTTGTGGTTTTCATCATGTTTAGTCTATGGAAAGAGCACTTTTGTGTGTAAGTAACAGCTGGAGGAGGCTTTTGCAGGCATCTCCTTTTTCCATAGAATGAGATATTTAGCAGCTTGGTTTTAATCATAATGCCATGATGCATGATGTTCCTTGAGCATGCCTTGTTATCAATTAAGAAATAAGCCAGTTAGGGTAATTCAGCATTTCCTTTGGGATTAGTTCATAAAGTGACATGATTTTTACCTTGTTGCTAAAAATACCATATTGTTCACCGGATGAGTACTTAAACAATTTAAAGGTGCTGTTCCAAAGAGAGACCTTGTTAGAGTGAAACGTCCTTTACCATGAGAAGCCCTAGCAAAAGAGAGGAGGACAGAGTAAATAGGAAAAGAAGGGACCTTGGGATGTATTAACATTTAGCAACACTAAAATGAATTGTGTTAATTGTGTCTGGCTTGATATTGGGGAGTTATGCTGACCAAGTGTATTTTCTCCATTTTGAGTTTTGAGTGCTGATTTTTCACTTGTGGATGTGGTAGCAGTCATTTGGGGTTGTTCTACCCAAAGTGTTGTGACTGCTGGGGTTGTTCAGCCAGCCCCTATCAGCCAGGATTCTATCCTTGATTCTTTGGTCCCCTTTGTATCCCTAGTGGAATCCCAAGGGCCTTGAGTGGCAGCAGCTGGTTAGCTGAGTAGGCTGAAGTGTCTGCAGTCTCCATTGGTATTTTCTAGGCTGGTGTGTGTGATCTGGGTTTCATGGCACAGGGAAGGCTGTGTGTCCTCCTCTTCCACCCCTTCACCATCTATCTTCTCTTCTGCTTCCTGTTATCTAGAGAGCTGTGATCCCTTGCTTCAGCATGTGCCTGGTTCATCCAGTAAGGAAGCTGGAGCTGTGACCACCATCATGCTCTGACAGAAGTTAGTGTAGCACTAAGAAGCCAAGAGATTGAGGGTAGCATAAAGCCTGTCTCTAGTCCTCTGATGCTCGAAGGATCCTTTGTTAATGAGGTGGAGTACAGAGACAATTTAATCTGATACTCAACTAATACTTGTGAATATAGACAAAATGCCGAAGTTGTGGTGGAGCCTGTACATTGATGCTCACTAAAGTGTCTGCACCAAACTGTAAGAGCACAAGGCAGAGATAGTCTGACACATCCTAGGAAAGCTCCCCAGACCATATTACCACTTGAACAGATTCAGTTGTTCCAGAAGCCTGTCATGTGAATGTTCTTCATCTTGGCATTCGTGTGACTAGCACCTGCAGATCACCACTCTTTACAAGATAAATAATCCAAAGTGGACATTGAAAAGGAGGGATGGAAATACGTGAACAGATTTTTATAAAGTGTCACTGCTTATTTGAGCCCCAAGAAATCTGAGTTGGGCTTATTCAGTGCCTCTGTTAAACGACTTGCAAACACATGCTTATGTTCAATCCTAGAGATGAAAACATTTGCTAAATGCTATCCTAAATAGAGTTATGTTCCCAGATGCCCTTTGTGCATTTTCACATTGTATAGGAGTTTTCTTTTTCTGCAAAAAGGGAAAAATAACAAAAATACAATCAGAAACAAGTTGCTGTAACTGTGATGATCCAAGAACTGTGGCAGGATAAGGTTTGTAGTTGGGGGTTGTAACTTAATGAGACTATCTGGTACCATTGTAAATTATGTGCTCTTTCTACGTTTGTGTACTCAGCACATTAGTAAAGCTTATTCTCCCCCAAGCATCAACAATGTTGGAAAATAATATTGCTCGTGTTATAAAAGCTTGGAAAGGCTTCATGTTAAGGAAAATCTGTTCCTCTAAAACACTCCAGTGTCAAGGGGTCCAAAGAGTTTGAAAACAAGAGAAAAGCAGTATTGTTTCCTAATGCAAGCTGATTCTGCATATTGTAAGCAATGAAACTTTTAGCTCTGATAAAGGTTTTGGGGTCGCCAATATTTGCTGGTTTAGCTGGACCTAGCAGATGTGTGGTGCTGTACAGGATTCAGTGACTCTCACCATGTAGCTCATGATTGGATTTTATAGGACTGAAATTTTGGTAGGAAAATGATATGGCTGTTGTTGAAGCTCTCAAATGCCACGACAGCAGGCAGTGCTGCTGACTGTCACCCCTTTTACTGAAGGAGGCTGAGGACAAGACTGTTGCAGCAGGGAAAAGGGTGTTTGACTCTGGGATTAATTCTGTCTATTTGTCTCGTGGAGCTCAGAGTTCATCTTCAGGGCATATTTCAAGGCAACATTTATGCTCAGGGCCACGTCTGACAGCAGCGCTCCGTGCAGCACTCCTACTGACTTCAATAAGAGCTCCTTGCAGAAAGTGAGGCTGGAATGGCCCTTGAAGTTTGTGACAGAGTGTGGCTCGAGGAAATGTGTGTGTATTTTGTGCTTCAGGTGTGTTTTCAATGAATGTGCTGCCAATCTAGTAGTGTTTTGGGACCTGATCCTGCTGTGCAGATTCAGTAGACACATGCGTGCTGGTGGATACAGGACATTGAACATTAATTTGTGGTAATTTTGTGGTCAAACTTTATGCATATTTTGCAAGCTGCAAATAATAAAAAAAAAGCAAGCACATTTAAAGGTTTGCTGGTGTTTTTTTTTTTAATGATTATTACAGATGTTACTGTTTCAAGACATTTACTTAATAGAAAAAGAAGAAAATGTGAGGTTCAGCAATATCAGCACCTCTCAAGCTGACAGCTTCACCAGTAGACAAATCCCTAAGTGTCAATATGGTTTTGGTTTGGGGTGTCAACTTGAAGGAGGAAGCCCCCAAAAAAGTTAAAATTGAATATTTGCCCATCCCAAATGGCAGAGATGGACCCAAATAGAAACATCATTTCCAAATATTTCCTGTAGATTTCTGATGAAGCATGGAATGACATAAGAGAAAAAACAGAAAATATAGGCTACTTCTGATGCTCAGATCCATCTCTCTAAATTCAAGTGACTGGACAGAACCTGTTGAAGATTGAACCTCAATTATCTGCTTCTGGTTATAGGCTGTGGAAACAAGGAACTGGAGTGTAGCCTTACCCTGTGTGGTAGTGTTTATGTTCTTAACCTTTGTGACCTTGAATATTTCTCTGCTGTCCTAATGTCTGCTAGTCTGTCCTGCTCACTTGCTGTTCCAGACACCATTATAGACACCTGAGCAGGAGTGTGAGCATCTACTCTGTGCGTTGTCACAGGGAGTGAGTCAGTATGTAGGAAAAACATTCAAATGAAAAAAGATCTGAAGCTGAATCTCGAGGTGGGACCTTGTTCTGTGATTTCTGAAAGTTAGTAAAGCTGTGCCATGCATGGGCAGCACTGGGGTTTAAAAGCCCAAATGCTCCAGCTAGGCTCTTCTGCTCAGCTTAAAAGCTGAAGTGCTGTGTTCCATATGAATTTATTTGAACTGCTTTTTTGCATTCCAGGAAGCATGACTGCCTCTCACCTCTGCCAGAATCCTGCCACTGCCGGAATTGCCAGCACTGAAAAATGTCTCTCATGTAACTGCTATGAAATGCTGCTGCTTTGGTACAAAAAAAAAATCTTTCTTTCTTTTTTGAAAACAGGGTCACCTTAAACTTGACAGACTTTTGCAGCCTGAACTGCAGGAGGACCATGTGGAGAAAGATGTCTCTGGGGATGAAGTTTTCAGTGAGTAAGTTCACTCGAGGCGTGAGTCTTGGGTAGATTTGATTCCATTTACTACTGCAAAATTTGACAACAGTAAAAATACCTTCACTGTTTTATCTGCCACTGGGGGGGGCGGATCAAAATACTCTTTTCTTTTCCAGAATAGCTCGCTGGCAGAAACCTTGAAACATATGAATCCCCTTCTTGATACCAGGTTACTTTGTTGATGAACACTGCTCCCAGCAAAAACTGGGACTGATACCAGACAAAGGATGCCCAGCATCATTATCTGCATTATATATCAATAGTTGTGCTTCCTTGCTTATCAAGTGTATAACCTTGTGTGTCCTTAAAGTGTAAAAACAAAACACCCACCACCCTAAGGACACCTGGGACTGCACTTCTAAGAAGCCAAGAGAAATAAAAAGATACTATTAAAATGTTATGAATTATTGTTAACATATATTTACATAATTTAATCCATCCCAGGAACCCTTCTTGAAAAATGAAATTTTATATACCTGTAGTCATTAAGCTGCCCTTTAATTTTATCGTTTCACTGCTACAATCCATCAGTGCAGTAGCTCTGTATTTGAGGGGATTTGCTTATTATGTAATAACAAGACAACTTACGTTTCCGAAGGGAATGCCATTAGATGGGATAGTTGTCTGGTGCCATTAGACCAACCCTGAACTGGAAAGAGAATATTTCTGAAAGATCCTTTTTTCGAGTGAACAGCTTAAAATGTTACAGTGAAGCAAACTGGGTCAGTGGCGTTACTCAAAAACAATTGCTGTGTTTGTAACCAACATTTAAGGCTTTGACGTTTCTATTACAAGCTTCTTTTCTTTTCTTTGGAGTGCCTAACTTGAAATTAATTTTGTTTGGTTGAATGCCATTAAGGTGAGAAAATCGCAGTTCCTTTGTGCTTTTCATATATAGAAATCTCTGTTGAAGATCTTGTCTCTGAAACCTGTTGATTTTTTAGTTTGAGCCATATCTGTAGCATTTTTGCAATTGACAGGTATCAATTCACTAAGGACTTACAACATTCTTGGTCAGTTGTTTGCACAATCACTGTTTTAAATAGAAAACTGCTATATAGAGTCTGATTACACTAATGGAGGTGAGGAGAAAACCAGGGCTGAGGAAAGCAGTTTGGTGTTAATAGTGTCTCATAGAAAAATTAATTTATTGTGGGATCCATTATTAGAAGTAAAATATAAAAGAATCCTGAGCTAAATCGAAGGCAGAGAGAATGAGAGTCGTGTGTGCTGTGTACAAGTAAGGAGGCTTCTGGTAAATGTCTGTGGTTAATAACAGAATAGTCTTACTTGCAAAAGCAGGCACATAAACAAAATCTTGTTTCAGAGCAAAAATAGAGCTAATTGCATCGCTGCCAAACAAATCTGCTTGACAGCCTGTACATTAAAAGGGCATTATGCTAGTGAGGAAAAGCACTAAGGAATCCTGGAAATTGCTTGTCAGGATGCATAGCGCTGCTGGGGTGAGCAGATGCTTGTGAACGACAGGTGAATTGTTTCAAGTTCTTGTGGCTTTAATCTCTAAGTTTTGAAATGCAGGAGCACCTGCATTTCCCCATCGCATCTGTCTGCTGCTTTGCCATCTCTATTTCCCCCTCTGTCAGCAGTTGGCTACCAGATGAGCTTTAGATGAATAGCATTCACCTTACTTCATAGTTGTTTTATGATGGTGGTTAGATGAAATAGTTCCAGCAGATACTCTCAATAAGCGAAGGCCTGTACTCTCTGCAGTTCATTGAACCCATATGGATGAGAACAGCTGGAAAGATGGGTTTGCTACCTGAGGCCAATGTTTGTGTTGCCAACCGCGACTCCAGCTTGCTGACCCTTGTATAATTCATTGCAGTTGAGGAAATGTTGCTCACACTATTCCATTTTGTGATGAATGGCATTACTTAAAACTGATAGTCTTGTAAAGCAGTGGTGACTTCCCATGTCTGACAGATGTGAACAAAGAATACAGTCAATAAATATTGCCATGTTCTAAAGGAAGATTCACTGCTTGCAGTTGAGGGGAAGGAATTTTAGTGCAAACAGAAAACAGGTGGAGAAAAAAGCTGGTTTAAAATTGCAATTTGCAGGTTATGCTTAAGGATGGACCTTTGTGGGGATTCATGCATCAGGGGTCTCTGAATCTGGAAGATATAGTGCTGTGGGCACATATTTCAATCTAGCATTGTGGAACAATCCTTGCTTCACTGACCCTCTTAGAGTAGCCAGGCAAATAGTTTCAGTGACCTTGCTGAGCTTAGACTTCCATGGAGTTTGCTCCGAAAGGAAAGGATGCGTCAGGAAAGCCATGTTTGGATAATTGCATTTTCTGTTGAGTGCTATTGCTTTGGGAATGTTCATCATTCAGACACTTCCTGGTGCATTTCTGTTGGCAGTTTTTTCAAAACTGAGGTTGAATGTTGGCATGTTTGTGTGAAAGAGTGTCTGACCTGCCAGCCAGTGTCTGTGAGCTCCGTGAAGTGTCTTTGGTAGACTTTGCTGTAGGCTTTAGCAGGCAGCAGCCCAAGGTTGTGCTGAGAGAGGGATTGGAGCCAGATGATTGTATCCATAAGAACAGAAAAAGGCAGATTCTTCAGAAGGCCAGGAAAATTCATGAGAAGCCATTATGATAAGGACTGAGGAACTGAGAAGAGAAACGGGGTGTTTTAGCAGGTTCATGTAGCAGACCATGGTGGAAGTGATTATGATTCAAGATAAGAGGATAGTGCATGGGGAATTGAGTAGATCTGTGTCTGTTAGAGGGAGGTGATGCAAGTGGAGTAGGTGATAGGCTTTAATGATGAAACAAAGTGAGGTAAGTGGTGGAAACACAAGGTGAGAAAGGAGCTAGATTCCTCATAAATCAGAGCTGATGTCCCTACGCTTTTACAGTATAGAAGCAAAAAATACTGTTTACTGATTATATTTATACAAGAAGGTACAGGGTACACAAGCAACTGATATTTACCCACATTCACTCTGTAGTGAATTCAGTCTGTGCAATTGTTTCAGCCTCCTGCTTAACCTCTTGCCACGGCATAGGGTTAAAGATTAAACTTGGTAGTGTTTCTAGAGTGTTATGAATATCAGACTGATTCGAAGTCTTTTTGAACTTAAGAGGTATGGATTGATATTTGTCTCCTGTTGTAGTGTCAACAGTGCACCAGCTGTGATACAGTGAATATTTCCCCAGCAGTGTTTCATATCATTAAACCGTAGCTTTTATTCAAGAGTTGAAATTATTCTTCTCCATGGCCCCCATTCAAAAAACACATAAAATTTTTTTGCTAGAAGGCTGTTAAGAAGGTGCCTGTAGTTAAGTATTAGTATTAAGTCTAGAAACAAGAAAAAATTAAGTATCTGTATAGGCAGTGGCTGAAATTAGACCAAAAAACAATTAAGAAATCAGTATACACTTTGGGTTTTTTTTATCCTGGGTAGCTAAAGCTTGCTACACTGCAGAAATCAGTCCATAAAAGCATGTGCAATAACCTTACACTTGAGTGATGTTTGTGTTGCTTGTGATAGAAGAAAAAAGGAAGATAAAGGCTTCTTGCCAGTGGACTATGAACACTACAGCAGCATGACCCTCTGCACAGACTTCTGAGGATGTGCTCTCCTCACCCTAACCCTACCCTAGGTAGGCCAGCAGGGATGCTCCTGAATGTGCAGGTCTGATTTAACCAGCCCTGAAATGTAGATTAGGCATAGATAGTATATTGGAGTGAGGTTGAGAAAAGACAACTCGTTTGATTTTTGCTTTGCTTTGTTGTTGTTAGTGTTACATCTACTGAAATCAAGTTTCAGACCTGAAATGCCGTTCTAGTATGTCTGCAGTGCTCTCATGGTTTTTATGTGTTAGTGTATAGCCATGTAGGGCTGAATTAAGGCTGTCTAGGCAGCTTCTCTGTGCTTAACTTTGCAATTAGGCTGCTTTAAAAGGTTTCCCAAATAAATGCAAATAAATAAGCTACAATCAAAAGTGAAATCACGTGCGACTGAACTGATACTCATTTGGGCAGTAGCAGCTCTTTTAAAGATGTTGTATAGATCTGTGCACATTGCTTTTTCAGACTAGCAAAGCAAGGGCTGTCTGCCATCTTTTGGTTAACAGAAGCAGCAGCTTTATTATTATTACTAGATTTCACAATTGTTTGCATTAAAGGAATACGGAAATCGAGGACTCCTGATCTGAATTGCAGATGCTGTGCAGAGGTGTTCTCCAAAGACTGCCAGCCCTTTTGCTAGCAGTGCTGTGCCTCTGTTTTTTCTTGGCTATACCGTTACCTTCTGTTTGTGGACTTCCCCAGGATGGCCTTTTCATTTGTCCTTGCTTTCGGGAGCTGGCAGCTTAGTTGGAATTCCTGCACAATAAATCTGGAAACAATCTGGAAACCTTGATCCTGAATGGGACTTAAGCTGCTTTTGGTGTCCCTGAAGCAAACTATTCCTCCTATGTGCAGCTGAGCCCGGAGAAGAGAAGGAAGAAAGGATCAAGAGAGAAAAGAGAATGCAAAGATGGGAAGGAGGAATGCATGGTAGTGAAAGAGGAGTGATGGATACTTGGGGAAGCAAGGTGATACCAGCATGTTTATCTACTTAGTTTCCCCCTCTTCTCAAACAAGTTGAGGATCCTATTGCCATTTTATGCTGCCTAGAGTAGGGGAGTAGTAGTTTCTAGAAGTCAATGCTGTGTTGAGGGAATAAGAGTAGGTGGTTTCTTTCTGCCTTGCGGCTCAGAGGTCTATTCAATGCAGCATAGACTGCTGCAGTTCCTTTGGTGATGAGAAGAAGCCTGTGTTGGGAGTTTGGGCAAGCTGCCAAACTCTTTGTACAGAAGCAGTGAGAAAGGGGAACCTGTGATTCTACACTTTATATCTCTGCTAAACCTGAAGGGAATTTCATGAGACAAAGAAAGGGCACTTCACCACCTGGAGGGCTGCATATCAAAGGCCTTCTGCACACAATGGACGTGTGGGAACTTTTCAA